AGTATATATTTTAATACATTGTTGTAAAAATCTAACATTTTAAATGTATAATTTAAAATATAATTGTGTATTTTTGTGAGCTAGTAGCAATCGGTTTAAATCTGTAATGGCTTTCAGCTATTGATTGGTTCGCTCATGAATATTCAATGCATGTATGTTTCTGCAGTGGGAGTGTTGTGGAGCTTTTGGGCATGAAGACTGGAATCTGAATATTTACTTTAATTGTACTGACACTAATCTGAGCAGAGAGAAATGTGGGGTTCCCTTTTCCTGCTGCACCAAGGACCCTGCTGTGAGTAAACACAGCACATACACTCTTAACACGCATGCAGCACACATAGACACACGTCTTCCAGTCATCTTACCACCTAGAATGTGCCATTGTCTCCTTCCAGAAGACCTGGGAACATAAACAGGAAGTGATGTAGATTCGGCAGACAGAGCACACACATACATACACGAAACAACAGTTCTCTATTTTATAATGCTCAACGCCTATGATTTAATGTAGAATGTTTTTCAGAAGGCTAAATCCTAGCTTTCTTCCTGTTTCTCTTCTCAAAGGAGGATGTGATAAACACACAGTGTGGATATGACATTCGAGCGAAAGGTGTAAGTATGCTTTGTCAAAAGAATATTCACCCCCAAAAAAATATCACCCTTTAGTCACACTCATGTCACTACAAACTGTTTGACTTTCTTTTTTCTGTGGAACAAAAATGGATTTAAAGAATATCCTAGTCACTCTTTTTCATATAACTGAAGTGAAAATGACACAAAATCCCCTTAAAAGTATTATTAATATGTTCCATATGCCCTATATTCAAAGTTTTCAGAAGCCGTACAAATAGCTTACTATAATGTTTTTGTAAGTAGAATTGTTTAATATTTTGCATGCATTTAATTTTCTTTGGCTAATGTTTGTTTTTATGTGTGAAGGACAATGAACAGAAGATGTTTATACACACGAAAGGATGTGTACCGCAGTTTGAGAAATGGTTACAGGAGAATCTAACCGTAGTTGCTGGAATCTTTATAGGAATTGCACTTCTGCAGGTGAATAAACAACTACAATCATTGACATTTACACACACTGTGCACATTTTTATGTTTGTTTTTATGTTGTGTATGTCCCACTATAAACAGCAGTCAGTCATAATTGAATGAATAAATTAAAAGGGAAACTGATTGTAGATCATTTACAAAATTCAATCGCCTTGAACGTAACACTGTGTCTTGCAAGAGTATGAAGACCTTTTGACAGTTACGTCATTTTACATTTATCCCACATTTTAATTAATTCATTATTTGGTTTATAAGTTTATGTTTATGGTCTAAAACAGAACAATTATTAATGTTTATATTATTTATTTAATTTTAATATACTTACGGAGAGGTTTAAGCCCACCTTTTTGGGTTAGTTTTTTTTTTTTTTAAAGAGAATGCCATTACATTGTTACATTACATGCAACATTTCTTATTCATTATAACATTATCAATGTTGAAAACAGTTGTGCAACTTAAAGGAACACTCCACTATTTTTGAAAATAGGCTAATTTTCCAACTCCCCTAGAGTTAAACAGTTGAGTTTTACCGTTTTCGAATCCATTCAGCCGATCTCCGGGTCTGGCGGTAGCACTTTTAGCTGTAGCTTAGCATAGATCATTGAATCTGATTAGACCGTTAGCATCTCGCTCAAAAATGACCAAAGAGTTTCTATATTTTTCCTAAAAGTGCTACCGCCAGACCCGGAGATCGGCTGAATGGATTTGAAAACGGTAAAACTCAACTGTTTAACTCTAGGGGAGTTGGAAAATTAGCCTATTTTCAAAAATAGTGGAGTGTTCCTTTAAGTTGCACAACTGTTTTCAACATTGATAATGTTATAATGAATAAGAAATGTTTCATGAGCACAAAAATAATTATATAGTTATTTTCAAATGCAATATTTCACAATATTATTGTTTTTACTGTATTTTACTCCCTGACAAATAAATAAATAGGGCCCTCTGATACATCAAAACCCTTGAATATTGATTTATGCCAGTATTCTATTTCATGCATTGTTTAATTTATCTCCAGTGTGCTCTTTCATTTCAGTAGCTGTCCTTCAAAATTACAACCTAAACATGATCCGCCAAGTGTGGTTATTTTATTGATTTATAGGCAGCTATGTCCTGTTTAGGGCATTCAAATAGTTTTGAAAGGCATTAAGCCTAGATTAGATTTAATAATGTCCAGGAAGCCACCTAATAAAGCATTGTTGTTTAACTCCGAGTTGCGTGATACAATAACCTATCATCTGCTTCTAGATATTTGGGATCTGTCTGGCACAGAATCTTCTGAGTGACATTGAGGCGGTCAGGGAGAGCTGGTAAGAAACATCATTGATAAAAGAAATACTGCATTTAGATTAGAGACCCCACACACCCTAATGGAAGGCTGGGAAACGAGACTAACAATGAAACTAACTATTGCAGATTAGGGCTGTCAAAACGATTAATTGCGATTAATCGCATCCAAAATAAAAGTTGGTGTTTACATAGTATGTGTGTGTACTGTGTATGTTTATATGTATATATAAATTCACACACATACATTAATATATTTCATATGTGGATGCGATTAATCGTGATTAATCGATTTGAGAGCCCTAATGCAGATAGTTCGACTAATTTCTCATATAAAAAAAGGGTCTTAGTGTATTTGGGCATCTATTAAAACCATATTTTTTTTACCAATTCAGACTGGCAGCAAAAACCTGTTTGGTGTAGTCTCAGTCCTTTTTTAAAATTTTTTTTTTTGTCCAGTGTGAATAAACCCGTAACAAGTACACTGGATGAAATCTTATTTTCATAAACTGTGAGTTTGATGGTAATGGGCAGGTAAAGGATGTCTCATCTTGATAACATCTCTGTTTTTCATCCTCCAGTTTGTTCACCTGAAGCACTCCAGCCGTTCTGCTGACAGAGCCTCCATCTCTCTATCACTCAGCAACAGGGTTGGCACATTGTCATCACAGTATCCTAGCAACCAGCGAGGGATTCCATTCACATACCTCCTTTATTACATTGTACAGCGACATCTTCATGTTTCCATGATAATGGTGTCCAATCGTAGATTTGCTTTTAATCCTTCTTCAAGTGCAAAATTCAACAGTATTAACACAATGAGTCTACACACAACTCATTTGTCGTCTTTAAGCCTTTAAGAAACACTTAAAGGAATGGTTGACCCTACACTGAAAATGTACTTACCCTTAGGTCATCCAAGATGTAGATGAATTTTTCTACATCAGATTTGGAGAAGTTCAGCCAATGGATCCTGTGCAATGAATGGGTGCCGTCAGAATGAGAGACCAAACAGCTGATAAAATCACAATAATCCACACCACTCCAATCAATCAATTAACAATTTATGAAGTGAAAGCTGTGTGTTTGTAAAAAAAACAAAAAACAAATCCATCATTAAGGTGTTTTAACTTTAAACCATTGTTTCTAGCCAAAATACAAGTAAGTAATCCATAATAATGCTTCATAAGACGTTAATTGATCGACTGGAGTCGTGTGGATTATTGTGATGTTTTTATCAGCTGTTTGAACTCTCATTCTGATGGCACCCATTAGTGCTGGGCGGTATGACCAAAAATTTATATCACGGTATTTTTCAAAATTATACCGGTTTCACGGTACATGACGGTATTTTTTTTTCATGCATGACCGGGTGTTAACCATATTTTCTACTGATTGAGAGAGGAAATACTGCAGTATATGTCTCATGCAGCGCACCTCCTGCAAGTAACAAACTAAAAAAAAAAATAAATAAAAAAAAAGTGCATGAGATATTAACAGACGAACTATGCTCATATTTATAATTCCAAACAATCAGTAAGCGACTTTATCCAAAAAAGTCGCTAGGTTTGTCAGTATGAATATTCTATGGAAAAAAGTCGCTAAAAGGGTCTGAAAGTTGCGTAATTGTGCAGAATGGATATTTAAATGCTAAAAATGTGTTTGTCAGTGCTAAGAGTACTATAGTTCTGCTGGTAGCTGAAAACATGATCAAATTAGGCTGAATATTTATTACTTGAGGGGGATGTGTAGAATTTTGTGAATGACTAGCATTCTGTGGAAATCTGCTCAGATCTTGAAGGTCCTGCAGGGGCAGATTCTGTGCAGACCCAGTTTTAGTGAGACAGTTGTAGCTGCAGAGTGCAGATTGTGCTAAATGAAGAGTTACTGTCTGCTTCACACTACATGGGTGTTTGACTCACCTTATGACTCTCGAAAGTACATAATTCATTGAGACTATTTGTTCATTTTGTTCGCATTGCCAGATTGTGTGTGTATATTACCGGTTTAATGGATTTTATAAAGCGGTTGCTTTTGAAACTAAGGGAAAATGCACCGCATGCTTATTGGAATAACACTACATTTTCCCAGTGTGTTCAGCTATATGAAGATATTTTTGTGAATAGTTACGATTATCTGTAATGGATTTTGAAATTATAGCCACTGTGTAAGCAATGTTGTCACTAGAATGTTTTAAAACATGAGCACTGAGATTTTGCCAGATATAAGACTTTGATTCTGGTGAGGTTAGAACAAAATCTACCAAACTGGATATATGGGTGAATTTCATGTTAAATAACATGTCTAGGTCACATTTCACCAAAAACAAAACAAAAAACATAGCTTATATATATATGTATATGTATATGTGTATATGTGTGTATATATATATATATATCCTAACCACCTTTATGCTGAACATCTTCTTTACATATTTATTAAATATCACTAGTGTGTATATATATATATATATATATATATATAATAAAATATAACAATACAATATAATAAAATATTTATATTGGAGTATTTGTTATATTGTCTTTAATTTATGAGAATTTAATAAAATTGTATCCAGACAGTATAAGTTTCAATACAGTGAGATTCTTTAAGAATAATATGAATTGCAAAAAACATTTGAATTAGGCTTAATTGAATTATTATTATTGTTTATTAAATTTAGGGGTGTTCCTGTAGCTGAGACCGTAATTTAACTAATAAAACATATTCCTTCCATTTCATTCAAAGTTGATTTTGATGAAAGCATCTGCCAAATGCATAAATATAAATGGGGTTGACTAAAACTGGGACATGTTATTATGAGATCCACCCGTATATATGATAATTATGAAATATTTCTGAAATCATGGCATCTCTGCCAGAAAGATGATGAGAATGTTTTGCTTTGTGAAACGAATCTGCAGCCTGTTAGTGGTTTGTGACTTTTGTAAAAACAGGGTTTGTGAGATTATTTGAAACACGAACTGATTTGATGAATCCACATGGTTGTGATAATGCCTTTTCACTTTCCACTTTTCTGATGTGTGTAACCTTATTATATCATATGTTTGTTTTTAGTTGATTAAAGTTTTGGACAGTTATTGTGAAAGGTAAAAACGCTGCATTTAAACTGGCTTCCGGTGGTTTTGCAGTATGTGCGCAGTGAAACTAGAACAAGAACGTTTTAGTATTAAAAATATGCATCCCTTTTTTTGTCTAGCACTTGTAATCTAACCTGAATTTTTCCCCAGGGTCTGGCTTAAAACTCATAGCTTAAACTTTTGGTACATTGTTGACTGGAAGTGCCATAAAGGTAATATTAAATAAATATTGGCATATTTTCTCAATTTCTCAAAAAACGATTTCATAGTAAAAACAAGATATTATGTGATAAAAAAAATGTATTTGTTGGAGATGTATCACATAAACATTTTGTTTTCAGATGGAGTAAGATTATTAAAACTTTATCGTTATATTTATCGCCCTTGGTGTGAACGGGCCTTTAATATAATCTATTAATAATGGCAAAAAAGAAAAGGACTTTATTTAAAGACAATGGTTTTGAGCTGGATCTACATTTCTTATTTGGCCAGCAAGTTCTTTTGTTAATATTAAATAAATATTGGCATATTTTCTCAAAAAACGATTTCATAGTAAAAACAAGATATTATGTGATAAAAAAAAATGTATTTGTTGGAGATGTATCACATAAACATTTTGTTTTCAGATGGAGTAAGATTATTAAAACTTTATCGTTATATTTATCGCCCTTGGTGTGAACGGGCCTTTAATATAATCTATTAATAATGGCAAAAAAGAAAAGGACTTTATTTAAAGACAATGGTTTTGAGCTGGATCTACATTTCTTATTTGGCCAGCAAGTTCTTTTGTTTTTATTTTGTTCTAATTTTCTCTCGTTTAATTGTGTCATTTCTTGATATTAATTTTACATTACCTTATTTAATAAATATAATAAACACTTTACATTGTTTCCCAAGATGGTGGTATTGGAAACAATAAATTTGATATGTTTTTGTATGTGTGGTAAGCCTGTGTCTATGTCTGTGACTCTTTTCTAAACCCTACCAAATAACAATAAAGTGTTATCAATTGTCTCTAATATTTAATTATCACCAACCTACATATAAGGCTCACATGCCAGTGTTTTAAAATGTTAATCTTTTAAAAATTTAATATTTCACAAAAGAACCAATGGAGTGTTAAACAATAACAAACTTTATTATCCCTTATATCATCATTTACAAAATACAAGCTAATTCAAATGTGTCATAAAAACATTAAATGTTGCTTGCATTTTTTATTTAAATATAATTTATTGCAATTTGTACATTGTACATGAAGATTGTAAATTAAGATACAAAATTTGCTAGAATGCTAGTAAAAGCTGTAGAAATGAGCATAATATTGTATTGGAGAATTTAATGAAATTGTAGCTACATCTAAAGACAACTATACATTCCTCGTGCAGTTTTAAGTATGGACGTTAGATGACGCCAGAGGATGGCATGAAAGATGTTAACCAAGAGTACCTGCCCTCTAAAGAAAAACTGATGAAGGTCAGGATTTAACTGTGACAATTATGTAGAAAATTAGAAATGAATACTTACTTATGGTAGTGAGCTGTATAAGAACAGTCACAACATTGCAAACAACGATTGGTTATGAGCTATTCATTAGTGATTCTATAACACACATGGCACGCTTACAGTTTAACCTTTGCCTGAGTCTTCATGGCTTCTGGTAAAATATTCTGCATTAATTGCATGGAAGTGCATAAAAGCATAGATCTTTATCTTGAGGTACATATTTCAACACTGTATTTCACTGATGTCCTGTTAAAAAGTATGAATTCCTTGAAATCCACCAATAAACATTAAAGTATAAATGTAAAACATAAATTGTAACATAGTAACGTTTAATACAGACTTAACTGAATTTCAGGGGTGTGTCCACCTCGAGACCTTGCTGGGAATGAAACCGTGAAGCCTAAATCACCTTAAGTGCACTTGCTTATACAACCCTCCTTCTTCCTTTTGGAAGCAGCATAGGTAATCTGAGCAGATTAGGATCAACTGTGTTTTCTTAATCCCACCACGATTAAAATAGGATTAGAACTCATCTCCTGGCCTCTGTATCACAGTAACTGCTCAGTGGCACTGACACTCTCTGTCTTTCTGTCCCATCGAGCAAAGGCACAGCAATAGGGGTCACTGTGTTTTGAACTCTCATAATGTCACTTTCCAGGCAGCAATATGGCGTTGCTCACACTGAGAAATTCTATACACATTAGATAAGATTAATGCCCATAATTCAACAGCATAAAAGTGTACGTTTGAAATGAATAGACACCACATAAGATAATTTTGTAAGGTAAGGGCCCAGTGACGGTTTGGTTGAGTGAGTTTTAGTGAGTCATATGTAAACCATGTGTAAAACACATATAGGTGTGAGTAATTTTAAAAGAAAAATTATATAAAAAATGTTTACAGTTATTTTAAATTGATATTTTCCCATATATGGTCTTAAAAGTTCCTGCGTGACCATCACATTTTTGTATATTTTACCTAATATATATATATATATATATATATATATATATTGGGGAGCTACAAATATACTGTACATTTATTTGCAAATGTATTTTTGATGTATTATTTTGATGTCATGCTCTATTAAATAAATGATTTAAATGGTGGCCTGTCCCACCTCAAGTGTTCTTGATCTTTTCGACTGTATCCAATTATTAAAATAATTTAACAATATAACATTTTATCACTAATATACTTTTGATTTTGATTTTTTTTTACCTCACAGGATCTGAAGTTGGTAAACAGCTATCTGAAGTCCTGTTTTCTCATCTTTCCCAACTATAACCTGGGTCATGGATTGATGGAGATGGCCTATAATGAGTATATCAATGA